TTTGGGGTGCTGAGGGTGTATAAGGGCAGAGAATTTACCTTTCAGGATATCACAGGTTTTCTTAGGGGAAAACATAAAAGAATTTTGAAGAACTGCAGAATTCTGAAGTAGGAGCCATCACAGGGGACTGGCAGGCCTGGGGGAGGTTTCTTGTAGGAGAAAAGAGTGGATAGAGGTTTGGAGTTTGGGCAGATTTCAGTCAGAGAGAGGATGTCAGCACGGTATGTGGCTTTCTCAGCTGAAGTGTCTAGTTTGTGTAATGATCTGGGACTGAGAAGAATGTAGGGAAGTGGAGCCTGGTGTGAGGGATAAGAGAGAGGAAAATGAGAGGATTGTGACTGGGGCAGTTACAAACAGTACTGAACATGCTGGGGTTATGTGACAATCACTTGTAGTAGAACTATGATTGAAGAGATGCATTTTATAGACACTGTAATAGGCCTTGGTCATTGGATATTTTGAGGTGAGGAATAACAAGGTTGGAAGATGATACCCATATTTTTGAGTCTAGGGAATCAGGAGCATGGTGATTTCTAAATGGGGTAATCAGGAAGGGAAATTGTTTTGGCATGTAGCATAGTGGTAGGAAGAGGACATTTTAAAAAATATTTGATTTTATTTTATGTGTATGAGTGTATTACCTGCATGTAGGTAAGTGCACCCGTGTCATGCAATGCCTTCAGAGGACAGAAGAGGCTGTCGGATCCCTTGGAACTGGAGTTACGGACAGTTGTTAGCTGCCATGTGGGTGCTGGAATTTGAACCCGGGTCTTCTGCAAGAACAGTCAGTGTTCTTAACTGCTGAGCCATCTCTCCAGCCCCCAGAAAGAGGACATTGAGTACACAAAATGTTCAGCATTTCCTTGAGTATGAGGATTGCCTTTGGCTTCCTTAGTAGCACCCATAGAAGCTGGAACTACCTGCTACATACAATAGGTGCTAAATGAATATTATTAGTGGAGATAACTAATAGCTACCTTGGATGGCAAATCCTGCTCCTCCTCTCAGATGTTACATTTAGAGGGCCCTTTGAACCCTTATCCTTTTCAACTCAGACTCAGATATTCCTAGGCATCATTACCTATCAATCCATACTAAGTCCAAGTGCATCCATGAGGAATCTAGCTTCCTTGCCTCTTTAAGGCCCTTCTAAGGTGATCAAATGCCCAAGTTTATGCTGGGCTTGCCATTTATAACACTGAAATTTGGAGTCTTAGGAAATCCTCAGTTCCACTCCCAGCTTCAGAACAACTCTGCTCTCCCAGGGGTGGTAGCAGGTAGGTAGGAGCCTCAGGAATTTAAGGACAGACTGTGCTACATGAGACTTTGTCTCAGACAACCAAAAAAGAAAAAAAAGTCCCTCATAAAAAGTAAGAAGCATCTCTGCTGAACCCAAATATTGGATATTAATATGCATCTCATATTCTTAATCTAAATGGCCCTTCCATTTGGTTGATCTCATTTCTTCTCAGAAGGATGCGCCAGCGTCCTTCTGAATGCAGATGACTGAGCCCCAGGTGTAGACTTTACTCTGTTATTTCAGTTGCTTGAAGAAACCAGCAAGTTAATACTGCATGCTGGCATACCACTTTGCAAGTGGCTACTTCAGCCCTACCAACAAAAACAACCTGAGATTCCTAGGAACAGATGAAAACCCAATGCAATCTGTCACTGTTTAGTTTTCACTGGCAAGATTATTCTACAAAGTTAATGAATAGCTGGGTTGGAGTGGAGGTGAGAGTAGAGCTGGGTTGGAGTGAGGAAGTCAAAGACAATCCCCACATTCACAGACAGAATAAATGAGGAGAAAATGTCTTTGGTGGGTAGTCTTTACTTCTTGTAAGGACATTGGTTATAGGTTGAGCCATTTGATGGTACAGTTATCATCTTCAAAATGCTTTTATGAAAAACCTGTATCTAGGACTCTGAATAAGCCCTACACAGAGAACTACCCATTTCTGGACCTTTATTTTTAGAACATCATGGTTCGGGGCTGGAGAGATGGCTCAGCAGTTAAGAACACTGGTTGTTCTTGCAGAAGACCCGGGTTCGAATCCCAGCACCCACATGGCAGCTAACAACTATCTGTAACTGCAGTTCCACGGGATCCAACAGTCTCTTCTCTCCTCCACAGGCATTGCACGACACGGTCGCACTTACCGACATGCAGGCAGTACATTCATACACATAAAAATAAAGTTAAAAAAAAGAACATCATGCTTCATGACCAGGTATTTATGTGGACACGTGCAGGATGGATTTAAATATTTAATATGGCTTACATCATACATTATGTGTTATTATCTCTTCTATTTGTTAGGCAGCTAGGCAGACATTATCAGGCTTGGAGTCTATTGAGGATGGACCACTCCCTCATAGTCATCTTTGCCCCTCCTTAAGAGTTAAAATACTATATGTAGAGGTGGAGGCATCAGGACTTTGTGGAGGCCCATTAAGGGAAAGCTACTTCTTGATGAAAACAGAGTTCTACTTCTGGGCTTGGATGGAGACATGACATTCTGATCTGCCTCAAAGATTAGAAAATTGCATATTGTCCCTTCCTTTAAGAACTAATCCACTCACCATCTCAGCTCTCAGGCCTGCTTGCATTGCTAGGATTCTTGCATCCCTAGACCTGCAAGCTCTCCAAGTCCTGCCGTGATTAATGAATCTCTCCACTCTCACCAGAGAAGCTTCCTTACCCAGAAGATGGTGATTGACACAGAGACACATAACTGGCCAACATACAGAGAACATGAGTGTGCAAAGTGTTTATCCCTAAATAGGACACCTATATCAAACTTCTGCATTCCAGGGCTCAGGGATCATTGTGGAAGAGGGGCAAAAAGATTGGAAGAGCCAGAGGTGGTAGACAACCACAACGAAATGGAGTTTTCCAGACAGCTGGGAAGTTACTCATATGAATTCACAGCAATAGTGACAGCATGCACAAGTCCCACATACGCTCAAGTCAGAAAAATCCCAGCATAGTCATGGGGAATTGGGTAAGGAAGCCCAACTCTACCTGAGGAACTGTTGGCAATCAATAGCTTCTGGAAAGAGAAGAGTCAGTCTCTTTCAAGGGTGTGATTCTTGGTAGGTTAACCAGCCTCCAGTGGATGGATCCAAACCAAAGGACATTTGGAGACACAAACATATTACATGAAATTGGGTAAGGGATAATAAAGGGGGTGCAGATGGGGGAGGGGATCTAAATATGATCAAAATTTATTGTAAGAAATTTGCTAAAATTCAGTAACAAAGAATTAATTCAACTAGCCCTGACAAACACCTGATCAAGAGACCACCGCTCAGAAGAGCTGATTCACCAGAAGACAATGCTAAGGAGATTAAAGTTATAATTCTCCCTTTAATGCGATAATGTACTTCCATAACCCAGAAGTCCCTCCTTTGATATAGTTGCTTGCAGAACTTCACTATGAAATCTGCCTGCTTTTCTGAGTTCTCACTCAAAATGTGTAACTTTTCCTCCCCCCTCCTTTCTATTTGAGTACCAGCCAAAATCCTAAGCACACTTGCCCTGACACTCCTGGCTTTTTCTGAAGAACTCCCTTAGCTCTGTCTACGGCTGCTTGCAGAACACCATTGCTCAACATGCCTGCTTTTTTGGGCCCTAAGTCAAAAGGCATAACTGTTCTTCTTCCTTTCATCCACCCCTTCCCTACCACCAGCTGCTAAGATTTGCAGCTTGCCTGCCCTTTTATTTTTCTCTCAAACTCTAATAAAATGGTTTGTTTCCTTCTAAGTCTGTTTTAAAATTCTTTTATTAAAGAGACTAAGAAACCACAAAAAGGAACCCCTATTTTCTGGTAACATATTGACTCCTGGCTATTTCAGATATAAAATATAATAAGCAAATATATCTTGTCCCTTGTACTCTTAGCTCTTTGAGTATGGAGATCTCACCCTTAGGAATTATGTCCACAGACCACAGCTGTATAGAACAAACCTAGATGCTCAGTAACAGATGATTAAATAGAGGACATTTGAAGGTAATCAGTTTTTTTTTTTTTT